GTGATCCTCCGTCCAGGACGGCCGCGGCCGGCGGCGGCGCCCCGCCGTGCGCGCTCCGCCGTGTGCCGCGCCCGCCAGGAGCGGCGCGGGCAGGGGCTGCGCCCGCATCCTTGAATAGGGTTTAATTGAAGCCGGTCTACGCGTCGGTTGACCAACCATTGCTGTTGTTCCAAGACGAGCCTCACATTACAAGAAAGCACTGCCCATAATTCACTGGCCCGTGCAGCACCGCATCAGGCCCCATGCACACATCGCACACCGTCGCAAAAGATGCCTCGTTAGAGCGAGACGGCTCGCGCTCGCATAGCTCCTGTCGGTTCCATGGCGCTTCCGAATCGCAACTGCATGCCCCTGACAAGTCCCCCCGCCGCGCTGCAGCCAGGGCGATTCCCTGCCAGCTCGCAACGGCGTCTGCACAATCAGCGTCGCAGCGCTTTCATTGCCTTCTTTTGCATGCGGACGGCGGCCGTCTGCGACGTTCACTACGGGAGTCCGCCGAGCGAGGCTCGCCACCGAAATTGCTCCCTCTCGCCTGCACCTGCGCCCTGGCCCTTGCCTGCTCCGCAGCGTTGGTCCCTGGGCCCTTCGCCTGCCCCCCGTCGGCGTGACCCTGCTGCCGGCTCTTTGACTGCTGGCTTTTTATCGTTGGTCCATTGTTTATACTCAGCTGCAATGTAATCGGCTTTCCACAAGGGACACGTGGGTGCAGGGCAAAGCAAGTCAGGAGGAAGGGCAGGGCAGGGCAGGTGCGGGCAGGCGCGGGGCAGCAGGGCCAGAGCAGGGAGAGCATGTGATAGATGATGTGAGGCAAGGCAGGCAAGCCTTTCAAAATTCCTGGTTTCCTGGACAGGGAAGCAGATACCAACCAAAAAACCGCCCCAGCGCCGGACGGGCCGCGGCGCCTCGTAAAGCCCGCCGAATCACATATGATCATACATTTGCAGGACGGGGGCCTGGGGTCACGCAGATGAGCTTGATAATGGAATGACAGATTGAGCCTGATCAAACCAGGTTTTGAGTGTGGAACCACCCCTGGCTGCGCGCGGCGCCGCTCGGGGCAGGCGAGGCGGGGGCAGGGGTGCCGCCGAATGCCGACGCCGACGCCGGCTGGCGCGAGCGGCCGAGCAAGATTGCGCGATTTGCCGCGTGTGCGCGCGCGAGCGACGTGCGTAATGGGCATGGTGGGCGCTGGCTTCCGGAAAAAGCCGCGCCTCGCCGTCGTCAGGTTGCGGAATCCGCACCAATTGGGTGATACTGGGTTTTGATTGATGGTTGTTTCGGTGCTTTTTGACTTGACTTAAGAGTGCGCAGGGGGCGGGCGAGGGCCAAGCCACGGTTGTGGCTGCGAGGGCGCGGCACAGGCAGGGCACGGGCCGGTTGGTGCAGCGCATGAGTTGCGGGATCCTGGAGCGGGATGGTCAGAGGGAGCTGGGAGCAGGTGCCCCTGGCCAGCCGGCCCCTTGCCTTTGGCTGCAATCCCGGGTCTGTGTGGTGGAGTGCTTTGGGGTTGGCCGCCTTGACGGGGCGGACGGACGCGCCTCGCCCACGCGGGCGGGCGAATCAGCAAAAACGCGGCGACAGGGGCGCCCCAGGATCCGGCCGCGGCCGCGTTTGGCGCTAGAAATTGGAGGGTCGCGATTTGGGCGCGCGCCGCGCGGCGCGTGGGACGCAGGCCACCCATCAAGGGCATTCATGTCTGGTGGGTCGCGGGGCGGTCGTGAAGGGAGGAGGGGGCAGGCGCTAGCGCTGCCGCAGTCTCGATGAGGCGAGCGGCGCGGCTACTGACCGCGGCCAAACCGCTCTACAAGCTGCGGGCGGCCGCGGCGGCGCCGTACAGCATCCTGGGCGCGGCCGGCGCCGGGGCGGCGAAGGCGCGCGCGCCCGGACGTGCATTTCGGCGTTCGGGCGTAGCGGTCTACTCCGGGCCGGGCCCGGCGTCCCCCCAGCTGCCGGCGCGGAAGTGGAACGCGAGCACTGCGGGGGCGCGTATGCTGACCTGGCGGGCGGCGGTCGGCGGGTTGATTGACGTCAGCGGTGGCTATGAGCTCGACACGATATGAGCGGGCTGAGGGAGCCCACGCCCGCAGGCGCGCAGACAATTTGCGAAGCGGAGCGCCCCTCCCCACCCCACACAATCACCCTATCCCTCGACGAGCCCTCGGGGCCGGCAACCCGCGAATGACCCGCCCCTGGGGCCGCCCAGAGACGCCCACACGCAGCTATTGTACACGGCCATACACTCAACACAAAACCGCAACCGCCGGAAAAAACGGCTCACCGTCGGGTACACCTTGCTGGGCAGCTCGCCGAAGCCAAACTTGGGCTCGGACCCGTTGACCGCAAACCACACCTGAGAGAAGAGGAGACAAGGGCAAGGGGGCGGCGGCCTCAATCAATCGCGCGCACACACACCCACACCCACACCCACCCACACACACACACACACACACGCCCTTCTCTTTCCCTTTCAGATTATTTTCAGATTAGCGGATCTTGCTCTCTTTGCAGCCGTCCCGCCCCTCCGCGCCCCTCCGCCCGCCACCCGCACCCCCCCCCCCAAAACGTCCGACAATGCAACACACACACCGTCGACGCAGCACATGCGTCATCATGATTCCCACCTTTCTGTCTTCCATGTCCAGGAAGACCGTCACCACCGCCCCGTCACCCCACTTGCCGTGGCCGCACGTCTTGCTGTATGCGTGCTTGTCGCTCACGGCGCTGCAGGGCAGGGTGTTAAGGAAGAGAGAGTGTGTGTATAGTTGTGTGCATGCATGCGTGCGTATGAGCTGTGTGTTTATCTGTGTGATTGTGTGAGGGAACAGCGTGTGGGGAAAAGAGCGTCTACCTGTGCGTGTCCACATGGGCATGTGTGTGTGTGTGTGTACGTGGTGTGTGTGTGTGTGTGTGTGTGTGTGTGTGTGTGAGTGTGTGTGTGTGTATGTGCGTGTTGTGGGTGGCGACACAGAAGCAGATGCGCGTGCAGGCTGCACAGGCGGACGCCGGGGTGATCGCTTGCGAGAGCGCCCCACCTGCAGAGCGCATCGTTGCTGCCATACAGCCACCCGCCAGGCTGCTTGCCACCCTAGACATGACAAACGTATGGAAGCCGAGCAGGCGGTTGTGTCTCGCGATCACAGCAAGGGGGAGTGGTCATCGGCTGGTGCAGCCGGCGAGGGGGGCGGACGGCTGCTGCCCCCTGAAACGCCGCCGGCCTGTTTCGGTGACAGCCCGCCTTCCAAGCATGCGCCTGCACGCGCAAGCACCCGTCCAAGCACGTCCACGGCAAAGCCCCACGCACGCAAACGTGCGCCCCGTTCTGCCGCCATGCTGCCCCCACAGGACGCGCCGCGCGGATCGATGACGTCATCCGTCGTCACCCACCCAGACCGCGACCTCCAGCGTGCCGTCCGACACCCCCAGCCAGACCAGGTCGCAGGCAGACCGCACGTGCACAGTCCAGACGTGCTTGCCGGCCGTCAACGGCTCCCAGGTCGACACGTTAAGGTGGCTGGGGCTCCTGTGGTGCAAACCACGTCAAAATTCGGGTGGGCGGGGGGCATCAACCCCTTTTTTTGGGGGGGTGGGCGTGGCG